GGAGAAGTACAGAAAACATGATAATTTGGGGGAAAGTGCGTGGGTTGAGGAGAGTAGCATAAAAAATTATTTTCCTAAAAATATTTTATACTCTCTAACCAAACATTAAAAAATATTTTTCACTCACCAACCAAACAAGGTGAGTGAAAAAAAACATTTTCCTTTGTACCAAACACACCCTAAATGTGATGTAATTGTCTATTCTTTTGTGGTTTCAACAGAAAAGTTTCTTGTCAATTATTGCAGGACAATGGGTTGGTACCAATTGTTGAGCCAGAGATATTGCTTGATGGTGAACATAATATCGATNCAATATCGACAGGACCTTCGAGGTTGCCCAGAAGGTGTGGGCTGAAGTTTTCTTCTACCTTGCCGAAAACAATGTCATGTTTGAAGGTATCCTCTTGAAGCCTAGCATGGTCACCCCTGGAGCCGAGTGCAAGGAAAGAGCTACCCCTGATCAAGTTGCTGATTATACCCTCAAGCTCCTCCAGCGAAGAATTCCCCCCGCTGTCCCTGGAATCATGGTAAGTACCTAAACGTCCTATTATATACAGACAGTGCCAGAATAGGCTGACTATTAATTATTCATGGTTTTGCTATGTACNATGTATAGTTTTTGTCAGGTGGACAATCTGAAGTGGAGGCTACTCTTAACTTGAATGCCATGAACCAATCTCCCAATCCATGGCACGTGTCGTTCTCATACGCCAGAGCCCTTCAGAACACATGCCTCAAGACATGGGGCGGAAGACCAGAAAATGTGCAGGCAGCTCAGGAAGCTTTGCTTATTAGAGCCAACGCCAACTCTCTTGCCCAGCTTGGCAAATACACTGGCGAAGGTGAATCTGAGGAGGCCAAGAAAGGAATGTTCGTGAAGGGATACGTTTACTAAGTCATTTTCGACGAAAACCTTCACATGTTTCATGATGAAGCTTGTGATGTGACCAAGATGAAGTGGATAAAAGCTTATAGCTCCTCAAGAATACTGTCTTGTTCATATAACATGTACCTTTAGCAATTAATGACATTCATGCTACTGAGTTCAGTTTTATGATATTCTTCAAATTCTTCTCCAGATTAAGATGCACTGTGTCAAATGCCATACAATCAATTTCTCCGGTGCATACTTGTAAAGACGTTACTATTTCTTTTTTGTGTTGCGTTTTCTTCTCTCTATGTTCCCAGATCTAACTTCCTCTCTTTTTGCTTCTCTCTCTCGTATCCTCTCTCTTTCCTCCTCCCTTTTTGGCTTTCCTCCCCTTTTTTGACTTTTTATTATATACATAGTAGATTGAAAATTGGGGAAGGAGAAATTGGATTCCTACAGTTTTTCGAAGAGTGGGTAGCCAATTGGAAAAAGTACATATGCAAGATTTGTGCAAAATTTTCAACGCCACATTGCTTGCCACCGTTTCGTTCATTTTTCTTTTTACTCTTTTTTATTTATTTATTTAGAGATAATAGGTAAATAACGTAAAATATTACATCTTACTAACCAAAGGATTAAAATACTAAATATTCAATATTTATTTATACAAAGTCTTTAGACTAACAAAAAATATACTAATAAAATATATTTTAAATTATTATTATTATTTTTTTAAATTTCTTAAAAACGTATAATAAGATAAAACAAAGATTTAAAAATATTTACCAACTAAAAAGTGGTGAAAAAAATTTAAATATGAACAAAAATTAGGTGATCATAGTACTCGATGGATTAGGCGAGATAGTTGGTACCCGGTAGATTGGTGGAGGTAGTTGGTATCTTTTGGACTAGTCGATTAGGTGCAATCTGGCCTGGGCACTAGCATTTTAAAAAAAAGGATGCAGTTTCAAGATTTTGCTTGCATGGCGTTTACGTTGTTAATGTTGAACGACATCTAAACTTTTTATGTTGAGGAGGTCTGCTTGGGCTGGAGAGAACATTATGAGCTAGTGTCAAAATGAATAATTGATCAAAACAAATAAACATCTGTAATTGCATATCTAAATCCTCAATAAAGTAAGCCATATAGTGGAGATTTTGCTTGCTCAAGGTTTTGTTCCTTTTATATGATAATTTCTTCCCCTATCCACGTGGATAACTTCATTCATGCTGACATGCATCCTGGAAACATTATCAAATGACATTCACTAACATATGTTCATGTCATCAAATATGAGATTGGATCTATGACATATCTAATATACCCTAACAATCTCCCACTTGCACTAGAGCCAATTGCTCTTGTACTTCATTCCCAATTTCCACTTGTGCTTGTCAAACTTCTTTGCTCCAAGAGCTTTAGTGAATGTGTCTGCAATATTTTTCTTTCCATCAACCTTTTGAATCTCGACGTCTCCACGTTCAATTATCTCTCTTATCAAGTGATACATTTGCAGGACGTGTTTGGATTTTTGGTGTGATATTGATTCTTTTGCTTGAGCAATGGCTTCAGTATTATCACACAATAATGGAATTGCATCTTAATTTGAAGGAACCACACCAAGTTCAGTTAAGAACTATTTCATTCATACTACTTCCTTAGCAGCTTCACTAGTTGCTATATATTCTGCTTTAGTCACTGAATCAGCTACTATAGCTTGTTTGGAACTTTTCCAACTCACTACACCATCATTTAAGGTAAATACATAACCAGAATAGATTTGCTATCATCTTTATCTGAAGAGAAACTTGCATCAGTATAACATTCAAGTTTCAACTCAGAATCTCCATAAATGAGGAATTGGTCTTTAGTCTTTCTTAAGTACTTAAGAATGATCTTCACCACCTTCTAATGTTCCTCACCCGGATTTGCCTGATATCGGCTAGTCATTCCAAGTGCATAAGCCACATCAGGACATGTACATGTCATGGTATACATGATATCTCCCACTGCACTAGCGTATGTGATCCTACTCATGTGTTCTCTTTCTTCAGGTGTTTTAGGACAATCCTCCCTGCTCAGAGTAATTCCAGTGCCTATCGGTAGATAGCCTCTTTTGGAATTATCCATGTTATACCTCTTTAAGATTCTATCAATGTATAAGGATTGGGAAAGCCCAAGCAGCTTCCTAGATCTATCTCTATAGATCTTTATTCCCAATATATAAGTTTCTTCTCCCAAGTCTTTCATGGAGAACTGTTCAGTTAGCCAAATCTTGGTACTTTGTAATGTCGGTATATCATTTCCTATGAGCAATATATCATCAACATAAAGTATTAAGAATATAATTGTGCTCCCATTAACCTATTTGTACACATAAGGTTCTTCTTCGCATTTAACAAAATTGAACTTTTCAATTGTCTTGTTAAAGCGAATATTCCAACTTCGAGAAGCTTGCTTTAGTTCTGTGATGACCCAAAATGTTATCTTTAAATTTAATAAGTAATTCTGTGTTCTAAGAACTCTAAAAGCACCATATATCATTCTTCGATTTGCGTGCGCAGTCCATACAATTTTTCGGAAAGTTTTTATGTAAAAATTGGATTAAAATGGAAAATAGAGCTTTAAAATTCAAGTGAGTTGACCTTAGTCAACATTTTTAGCAAATAGAGCCGGATTGGTGTTTTGACACTTTCGATAACTCCGTATCGAGATTTGGGACTTGGGCGTATGCCCGGAATTTAATTTGGAGGTCCCTAACTCAAGTTATGATCATTTAACGGAACTAGCAATTTAAAGGCAAAATATTCCAAGTTTGACCACGGGGTTGACTTTTTGATATCGGAGCCGGAATCCGATTCTAGAAATTTGAACAGCTCCGATATGTCATTTATGACTTGTGTGCCAAATTTGAAGTCATTCCGGATTCATTTAATATGTTTTGGCACGAGATTTGCAAATTGAAAGTTTAAAACTCAAAGTTCGAATCGGGGTATGAATTCTAATTTCAGTGTTGTTTGACGTGATTTTAGACCCCGAGTCAGTTCGTATTATGTTACGGGACTTGTTGGTATATTCGAGCGGGGTCCCGAGTACCCCGTGAGTGAAACAGATCGAAATCGGAATAAGAATTGGACTTAAGCAAAATCTGAAATTTTGAGTTCTAGTGTAATCGCACCTGCGGAATTTTGACCGCAGGTGCGAGCTTGCAGAAGCGAGACTTCCATCGTAGATGCGGTCTTCGCGTGTGGCCCTTTTGCACAGAAGCGGACGTCACAGGTGCGACAATTTTGTCTGCAGATGCGGAACCTCGCCTGGCAGCCCCACTTCGCAAATGCGAGCTTTGTCTCGCAAATGCGAGACCGCAGATGCGAAAATATAGTCCGCAAATACGAAAATGCTGGGCAGAATACATAAAATCGGGTCTTAGCCATTTTTACTCATTTTTTTAGTTTTAAGTCTCGGATTTGGGACGATTTCAAGGGGGATTTTCACGACTTTGAACTGGGTAAGTGATCTTTATCATAAAGTGATTATATGTCACAAATTCATGTCTATATTCATCATTTATTTCGGATTTAGGTGGAAGAAATTGGAATTTTTGTAAAACTTTCCAAAAATAAAAAAAATTAAGATTTGAAGGTCCATTTGATATCGGAATTGGACAAATTTTGTATGGTTGAACTCATATCGGAACGGGTATTCGGATTTCGTAAGTTTTTCCGAGATTTGAGATGTGGGTCCCACTGCCGAATATTTTAATGAATTTCAGATTTTTATCCGAAAAATTTGTAAATTCATATGGAATTAATTAGTATTGAATATATTGAATTGTTTGTGAATAGATTTGAAGCTTTCGGAGGCAAATTTAAAAGGAAAAGTTGTGGTTGAATAATTGATTGGAATTTGCGAAACGAGGTAAGTGTCCTGGTTAACCTTGGCTTGAGGGAATAGAACCCCTAAATTATTTGTTATGTGAATTGCATGTAAACGACTTATAGGCTAGGTGACGAGTGTCTATACGTCGTCAAATTAATTGTTTGCCTGCTTACTTGAAAAATCATAAATTGTTTTTAATCATAAATTAATTATTGTAATAATTGTTTCTCTCTTATTCATTGCAAATATAAATTCTTGAATTCTTGCATTAATTGTTACATGCTATTTGAATTATGTGCCTTAATTGTTATTTGACATTTAGCATATTAAATATTAAACTGCCTATTTGCTCCCTGATTTCCATAATAATTTGCTATTTTTCATTGTTTGCTTCATAATTAAACCATAATTATTGTATGCTT